TTCCAATTCTGGTATTCTGTAATGTCACTTGCATCTCATTTCAGCTTCAACTTGACCATCAAAATCATCAACCTCCTCCTCTTCTGCCTCAGTGGTTGGGGCATAAACCTGGATGATCGTCATGTTGATGGGTTGTCAAGGAAGTCTAACTGATGTCATTCGGTCCCAATTTGCTCTCTCCTTCCTATGAAAGCAGCCCTATCCCTCCTTTCCTTGCGGTGTCCTGAGTGGCAACCAGAATGCTCTTCTGACTGCCGGTGTCGAATTCTACTCCATTTCAGTTCACTGATGCCTGTCAGAGTGTGGCTCTTTGATTTCATCTTTCATGGTGTTGAGCTTTCCCTGTTGCTGCTTCCGCTGTTCTGTGCTCCAGGTAGTCCTGCCTTTTTCTGCCTTGCAACATCTGCACCTGGAGCTCCCGAAGGCTTCAATCTGGCCACACCATAAACACCGATGGGGCTGCAAAAGATTCCCAGCTCCTCCTCCTGGCTGTCATTTAACAGAGGAGCCCATCCATCGTCTGGGCACTCCAGTGTCAATCATTTTATGAGGCCATATTGGATGGCTTGGGGGGTTGCGGCCTGCTACTTAATGCAAACCATAACATTGTTTATTCATCTTAATTACAGATTTCTATTCTGAAAAGATTCATGTATTCAAACACGAATGCAAATCATATGGTAATTGAAGTGAAATTTACACAGACTCGATCAAGTTTATTGTCAGGAGAGGAGCTTCAGAAGCCTTGCTAACATCTCCAGTGCTCTGAAAGGGGACCAAGAGATTCACAGGCAGTCTGGAGCAACCTGGTCCTTCCCCCAGATGGCAATTCTTCAGGCTTTGCGGGAGGGCGGGGGGGGGGGAGAGCAGCCTCCCAAGAAGGCCAAGGCGAGTCACTTTAAGCCTTCCTCATCACCCTTCTTATCTGCTTTGCAGCTTTTCTAAATCATTTTGCATTAATTGTCTCATAAAACACTCTAAAGAGCAGAATTATGTCAAGAAGGCAGTCAAATGATGTATGCAAAGCAGCTAAATCCAGGCAAGCATTTCAAAATAAAGCCCCCCCTAAGTCCAGCAGCCCCCTCTCCCCTGCCCCTTTTTCCTTTCCCCCGGTCATAATCCAACTTAGGAGCTCTCAGGTGCTTTTTTCCAGAAAGGAGGCAGATCAGAGGGCAAAGGCAGGAGACCCTAACCCTCTGATTCTTCCTCAGTAGCTGGCCTCACACAACTCACTGAGCCAGCTGAGTTGGCTGCATCCATGCTATGTCTACTCAGCTTTCGTTGGGAGAGTTTTCTGTAGCTTTCTGAGTAATCCAGCTGGCTTCTCTTTGGGGTTCCCTCTGACCTATGCGGACATCCGGCCAGGAAGAAGAGTGGGGAGGCCCAGCACATAGGCTGGTCTTCTGCAGGGCTCCCAGATCTTGTGGTCCAGGTGAGGCAAGAGTTCTACATTGGCCCAGCAGGAAGGTGCAGGTAAATGAAGGCAACCTATTTTGGGAATGTGGGAGGAACAAACAAGCCATGAAGATGCAAGCTCCTCCATCTCATGAACACTGGAAAGGTTGTGGGGGAAAAACTCAAAATCACCCCATCTGGATTTCATTTGGTCTTAGATGAGGCAGAAGGAATCTCTGGACGGCTGATGAGTTTCCAGCCCCACTTGAATCGTTATGACTGTTGTTGTTTTTACTCTGTCTGTCTTTTGTCTTATTGTATCCCCACCTTCCTCTGGTTGTTAGCCGCCCCTCCTCTGGTTGTTAGAGTCCCTCGGGAGTGGGGCGGCATACAAATTAAAAAAACATAAACACATTTCAAGATTCAGAATAAAGAATCTTGAATAAAGCAGCATTCTTTGGATCCCAGCGGTGGCTGTTCTTGAGTAGCCTACCTGACAGGGCTGGCAGTGCCTTAAAAGCCCTGCACGTGCACAGAAGCCCATGCAAGAACCCGGGTGAAAAGCAGCCCAGCTCAGGGGCTTTGAGGCCAGCCTTCCAGCCTTCCTTTTGGCTCTCTACAGAAATGCCCCCCTTAAGGCAGCACCTGAAACGCAGGAAAGCTTCTGCCTGGGAAACATCCAAGCAAACCTTTCGTCTCAAAGGCCCTTCTTCTTCCTCACCAGGAGAGCAAGTGCCTGCAGGTTGGGCTCTCACCTTTCCCTCTTTATTTCCCAATGCAGTGATATGAAAGCCTGTGCCTGGGGGAAAAATTCTTTTGGAGAAAATAAGAAAAATGTTTCTCCCTCCCATGAAACTCCAGGCATTCCCCTACTGCCAGCATTATTTGCATGAGGAAGAAAAAAGAATTCCAAACAGTTCCCAGAAATTCTGGGGTATTTAAGTGCCTGTTTCTTGCCCTCTTCCCCCTGGCATGATCGGTAGTACCGTGTTGCAGCATCTGGCCCATCCAAACCATCAAAAAGAGGAAGTTAGAATATTTCGAACATGGGATGACATCCAGAAAAATGCGGCATCCTTCACTTAATCCTCCAGGGAAAGATTGAAGGCAAAGGAGGTCCAGGCAGAAGAAGAACATCAGGGCGTCAAAATCTAAGGGACTGGTTTGGGCAAAACTCAACAGCACTTTTTTGTGTGGCTATTGATAAAAATAGGATTGCCAATATGATTGCCAATGTCTGATGATGGATATGGTAGGAGAAGGAGGAGGAGGAGGAGGGGAGGAAGAGGGGAAGGAGGAGGAGGAGGAGGAAGAAGAAGAAGAAAAAGATGAAGGAAGAAGAAAGAAGAAGGAAGGAGAAGAAAAAATGAGAAGAAAGAAGAAGAAGGAAGAAGAAGGAGAAGAAGAAGATGTGGCCCAACCTGGGTACCTTTTAGGTGGAAGCTCCAGACCTCCTGGGATTGTAGCCTTGATGCTGTGGGAGGCATATGGAGTGGGGGAGGGGGAGGCTCTGTGGTTACTTCATTAAACCTGAGATTTGACAGAAAAGAACTTGGAGATTAGACACTCACACAAGTGTCTCTGCCTGCAGTTACACCTGAAAGAAGGAGGGATTTATTTTTTGTCTTCTCCAAGCGATGTATTTGTGTCCTATCTTTATTTTGTTAAAATTGTGGGGTGCAATTTCAGGTCTTCTTCTTCCTTACATTTGAAAGAAATTAATTAATTGAAAGCAAAACGTAAGAAAATGAGCATTTTGGAGATGCAGCCGTGTTGTCCAGCAAAGCACAGGGCCAGTTCTTCTGTTCCAAAAGAGCATTAATCACCCTGGCAGGGCTCCCGTTTTAATCTTGGCAGAACAAGGGAAAATAACACACATGAGGGATAGTAATTAAATATCTCCCTGGGAAGGAAGGACGCGCAAAATGGCTTAGCATCGCTCAGAGAAGGAGCAGAACTATTTTCCTTGACTCAGATGTTCATACGGCTTTCATAAAGATCACCAAACTGGTTTTTCTTATAGCCCATTTCCCTTCCTTGAAGGACAAGCACCAGTGACAATGGAGTTTTAATTAAGGTTCCAACCAATATTTACTCACTTAAGCATCTTCACCTTGGCTAAAGAATTAATCCCAATTAATCACGACATGGCCCATGCATGCAGTGTGCGTGTGTGTGTGTGTGTGTGTGTGTGTGTGTGTGTGTGCGCATACCGCAAGTAGAGAGACTGAAAGGCCAAGGATTTAGGGATGATGTATCTATCTTCATTATTGCTAAGGAAATAAGCAACAACGACACCTCGGTCTGAGGCACAGCCACACCACAGAAGCTCCCCGTGTATCCTCTTGGCTTCATCAAGAGGCTCTTCAAAGGCCAGAACTGAATTCATCAATTCTCATTGGCTTCTATCAGCTTCTCTGCCCGGCGATTAGTTGGCAGAACTGTTTGCTCTCTTCCCCCTCCGCACCTCTTCCTTGCCTCCCACTTACCCACACATCTGACACAAACAATGGCACTTATGCCAGTTCTCGCCCTGTGAACAAATCCCTAGATTCTGTGAGGTTGCAATGTGAAATCTTGATTTTTACTTGTTTTTTACCCAAACTAACCTCCATGTCACATAATGCAGATTTGGGACTTGGGATGAAAGTTGGAGCCTTTGCTGGGAAGTAGCAACAAAAGTTTAAGGCAGGGACAGGAGATGCTTTTGGCTCACCTCAGGAGCAATGTAGTCAGGCGTGCCACAGAAAGTCTTGGTGGTGCCTCCATCCCAGATATTCTCTTTGCACATGCCAAAATCAGCAATTTTGATGTGGCCCTCGGAGTCCAGCATCACGTTGTCAAGTTTTAGGTCTCTGCAGTGACAGAGAGAATGAAAGAGGGGGGAGGGGGGAGAAAGAGAGAGAGAAAGAGAGAAGAGAGTGAGAGAGAAAGAGTGAAAGAGAGAGAAAAAGTGAGTGAGAGAAAGAAAAAGAAGAGAGAAACGAGAGAAAGAGAGAAAGTGAGTGAAAAAAAGAGAGAAAGTAAGAGAGAAAGAGAGAAAAGAAAGAGAAAGAAAAGGAGAGAGAGAGAAAGAGAGAAGGGAAAGAGAAAGAGAGAGATCCCTGAGATCAGACCTTGGAGCTGAAATTGTATTCCACTGAATGACATTTAGTTGAAAGCTGACTATAGGTAGTCCTTGACTTATGGCAACTGGGACCAGAATTTCCATTGCTAAGTGAAGCAGTTGTTAAGAGAGTTGTGGGCAGTTTTTGCCACTTTTGTTAAGTGGCTCAAACATCCCCATGGTAACCTGGACAAAATCCAGGGCCTTGGCAACCAGCATGTATCTACTACGTTGGTCACAGTATCTGGGGGCCATGGGATCAACATCTGCAAGCTCCCCAGCTGGCTTCTGATGAGAAAAGTCCATGACGGGAGCCAAATTTGCTTAACAACCACCTGATTCACTTAACAACTGTGGCAAAAAAGGTGGTCAAATTAGGTGTGACATCACCACACTAGCAACAGAATTTCTGATTGTGGCCATGAGTTGAGGAGTACCTACACTGGTTGATGGTGGCTGAGGGTGCGAGTGGCAGGCAAATGGTGGAAACAGGGGGATAAGTAGGGAAGAAGAGTCATTCAGAGATGCGGTTCCCTAATATTTTTGGTTTGTCTTCTGTTGAAGTAAAGAAACGCCCTAGCCCCATTCCTTTCGATCCGGAGGGCAGCAGAGCCTTCCCTGCCCTGGATGCAAGTCTCATCCAGCAAGCCTCTTTGGCTAGGCCCATCAAGGTTTAGGAGAGGTCTGGGGATGGAAATCAAATCCCGTTGCTAAATTCTCCATCCCGGGAGCATTTGCAGCAAGCAGCTCTCTTCCGCTGGGAAAGGAAGCAGCGGCCTCTTCAAGCGAGTGGAAGGTCAGAATAGCCAGTGCCAAGCGCAAATGCTGCGGAGCCTGGCTCTCCCTCTTTCCGGGAGGAAAACCCTCTCCACGCTCTTCCAGCCCATCCTCCTCCCCTGGAGCCCTAGAGCTGAAATCTGGGGAGGAGGTCGACATTGCAGGCTTCAAAGGGATCTGCAAGAGGAGCATCACGGTGTGCAAGAGAGGGTCCGTGGCACATCATCCTGGTTCAATGACACCTGGTGGAACACAGCCACCATATCTCACCCTCCAGCTGCCGCTACCTCATTCCCAAACTGCTGCCAGAAGAGCAGGTCAAAGCCTGCTTGGGGGAAGGCAGGCAGGCAGCAGAGGAGGAGATGCAGCGTGCTGGAGGAGCGGGGGAGGGGAGGAGCAGGGAACAAAGGCAGCTCCCTTTTCCCTCTGGAGCTGAACTGGTTGCTTCTCCAGGAGATGCTGGGGCTGTTTCTGAGGCCGGACCCCCTGCTGCCCCCTTACAGCTCTCTGGGGCCTTGGCTGGGCAGCCGGCCTGGGGGTTCTTACTGGAATCCGATGGTGCCTCATGGTCCTGCTCTGCCTTTCTGCTGCTTCTCCAGAAGTCCCATTGGGGGACCTCCAGATGCTTCTCAGATGCCAAAGCGATGGACCCAAAGAGTCCCTGGCCTGCCAGTCCCCCTCTGTGACCCATCAGTCCACTTGTGCCTCATCAAGATTGCCCAAGTGTAAGATGCCACCAAGGCCTTCCTCTGATCCACCCCAGTGGGGCTTCTGAGAGGAAGAAGGCTTTGCTGGCCACGGGCGTGGGGCCACACCAGACCCCAGGAACCCCAGGTTGGGAAGTCATAGAGAGGAAAGCAGCCCACCTACCGGTAAATGATCCCTTTGCAGTGCAGAAAGAAAAGGCCCACGGCGATCTCAGCTGCATAGAACCTGCCAGTCAAGAAGGGAGAGTAATGGAGAGGCCAGGAGGTGCTACCTCAGCCCCTGGCACAGGAGGCCCTTGGCATCATCGGTCCTCAGAGGGAGATGACAGACATCCTCACACACACACAGAGATATACCCACACACCCTGCCCTGGCACCGCCCTGGAATGGCAGTGGTGACTTACACAGCATGGGGCTCCTTGAATCGCCCGACCTGTTGGATCTGGTACATGAGGTCACCACCATTCACGTACTCCATCACAAAATACAAGCGGTCCTAGGAGAAAAGGGGAGAGAAACGGTGGAGGATGCTTAACCAAAGTCAAAAGAAGCCACCAAAGCAATATGCCTTTTCTTCTCCATTAGAAAAACTCTGCTGGGGGGCATCTATGGGGCCTGTACTGCAAAGTCAAGGCAGTGGCTGCAGCTGTGCAATTGAAGCATGTGCCATGCGTGTCAAAAACAAGCACGGCTTTGATGGTCCCATTGTGGCCCTAGTGGCCTTGCCTCTGGTGACCTCCTCCTTCAGCCTCTCCTGTGTCCTGGCTTTGCATCCAGCAGGAAGGAGTCCCCGTGTCCTGAAGGGATGCCATTCCATGCAGCTGAACTGCAAAAGTCGGGAGGAGGACAGGTCCTCAGCAGGACACCGTCAGTCTGTTGCAGCACCGCAATAGACAATTTAAATCCCAATGAAAGGAAGGATTTGGTTGCCTTTTTGATATTAAAAAGTAAAAAAAAAAGAATCCCTTTGACTTCCTTTTGTGGGATTAGACATATTGCAGGAAAGCACAGATGGTATGAGAGGAGAGGGGAAGGAGGGGGGAGATGGGGACTTAAAGGGGACATTTCTAGATTAGAGGAGAGACAAGGCAAAGTGGGAAGGGCGGGTTTGGGCCTTTGAGTTGTCTTTTAATTGGCTACCCGGAGCTCCATTGTTCAGGACCACCGTGGAGGAGATCAAGCCAAAGTTGTGTCCTGTAGGGATTTGCTTCCATAGCAAGAGAGGCAGCGCCTTTGAGAAATTTGAAGCAGGGGTATCTACCCCTGGGGTGGAGGCGGGACAGAAAAGTCCAGATGGCAGTCACAACCATGCTACTGAAGCCCTGCCCTGACAGCCAGAACAATTACCATATTTTTCGGACTATAAGACACACCAGAGTACAAGACGCACCATAATTTCAAAAAGGTAAATTTTAAAAAAAGTGTTTGCACTCTGCAGACCTCCCAAACCCTCTGCATGCCTCATTTTTTGCAAAAGAAAAAAAAAAGGGGTGTGTGTGTGTCATGCAGAGCTTTGGGAGGCTTGTAGAGTCCTCCTGGGGACTGCGGGGAGGGGGGAGACAAGCAAAAACAATCAATTTTTCCTTGTTTTTGCCCTCCCCAGCCCCCAGGACCACTTTGCAAGCCTCCCAAACACTCTGCACATCCATTTTTGCAAAGGGGGCGGAGTTTCAGTAGGCCAAAAATGCTGTATTCAGTGTCTAAGACCAGATTTTCACCCTGTTTTTTGTGCGGGAAATGTGTGTCTTCTACTCCGAAAAATACAGTAACCAGCGGAACGGCTTGTCTTCAGGAGATGTGGGAGCTCCATCACTGGAGGCTTTCAAGAAAGATTGGACAGCCATTTGACTGGGAGGGCATAGAACAAGGTTCTCCAACCTTGGGAACCTTTAAGACTTGTGGATTTCAACTCCCAGAATTCCCCAGCCAGCCATGCGGCTCCACAAGTCTCCAAGTCCCAAAGTTGAAGACCCCTGGTTTAGGGTCTCCTACTAGAACAGGGGCTTGGACTCCAAGATCCCTTCTGACTCTGCTATTTTGTTATTCTGCCCCCCTTTATACACCAATTGCACATCACATGTATGTAGAAATGGGGCAGGTGCCATGTGAGTGCAGGCTGCACCTTGACTCCCCCCACTCCCTCAATGCCTTCAATTTAGCAGAGCTACTGGAATCTCATCTGAAAACTCTGCCAGGGGCATCTCACACACACCTGGCATCTGGCGATCAGCTGGGAGCCTCTCAGGCTCCTGAAATATTGAACAATTGGTGAACACCCCCCCCCCCAATACAGCCATTGCTGAGGTGGAGACAGAAGGTTCCGGTGCTTGGAATAAGCCCCACTGCTCCTTCTCGTCCACTTCTGCCACTGGCCTGGCTGCCAATACCCACTGCCACAACCTGTGATTATGTCCCAGGTCCGATTAGTGCTAAGCCCCGGGCAGGTTTGCGCCCTCTAATCCTCTGCTAACACCCTTCAGATGTCAGAAAGAGGCGAGGAGGCAAAACAGATCTCAGCAGGCTGACCTTTCATCACCAAGATGGGAGAGTTCTGGCGGCTGCCAGCGGCCTTTGCCAACTCCAATTGCTGGGCTGACGTCTGAGGGTAATCCTCTAAGCCTGCATTGTTGCCGTCCAAGAGCCGCTGCCGAGGAAGGGCAGCTCTCAGAGCAGCCCCTCTGTCTTTATCAGCTGCCAGCTGGAAACAGCTGCAGAGAAAGCGCTTTGTGGGAGCTGCGCCTGGCGTCCTTTTCTGCCTGGAGAATGGCTCGCTGCCCTGAGCCAGAGGTGGGAAAGCTCCTCCTTTGTGCCCTTTGCAGCCTCCCAATTCCTGCTGCCAACATCCAGGGGGTTAAATCGCTGCATTGCAGAAGCAGAGCTGGCCGCTTTGGGAGTGAAAAGGATCCCCCAAACAAAGATATTCGGCACTCTTCATTCTTCTTCATATTATTATTATTATTATTATTATTATTATTATTATTATTATTATTATTATTATTATTATTATTATTATTATTATTATTATTATACAATTGTATCACAGCGGACAGTTGTTTCGCCGGATTTGGCATTGGTTACTAGTCGGGCCCCACCCAGGGGCCTAGGACGTCGTAACGTATTTTCGTAATATGCGTGCAGATCCAAGCAGTGCGTTTTTTTGCATTTGACTGATGATGATGATGATGATGATGATGATGATGATGATGATGATGATGATGATGATGATGATGATGATGATG